GACTAGATAAATAGTCCTCTCTCTCCCCTGATGCACGGCCAGCTGGGCTCCCCTCCGGATCCTCAGCACTGCTTCCTCACCCAGCTGCTTGGTGGCTGGAGTTGAAGAGCCTAGTGCATAACCGCCGATTCCCTGGGAGAGCCTGGGAGCCCTTTAGAACCACCCTGTTTGCTGTGTCTTTCTAAACTCGTTAGAGGCGTCAGCATGTTGTAAGCACTTGTTGTTGAGGCTTTCTGGCATGTCGGCCCCTCAGATGGGGTTGGCTGCCGGAGCCCAGTGTTTCTTCTCAGAGGAGGCCTCGCTGGGGTTTGTAACCTGTCCCATCCTCCTCCTGAGGAAATGGCTTTTCCTGTGGGCCAGTGGGATTTGCTGGCCCACTGGGCTCAGAGGTGACTGTATTCAGCGTGGGTACCTGTCCTTGCACAAGGGGGTTTCAGCAGTTACCAAGCAATGGCACCAGCCTTCTGCCATGCTGCTCGTTCTGGTTAACCCTAGATGGCTGCAGCTGACTTTTGGCACCCCAGCCTAGTCGGGGCAAAGTACCCAGTCCGGGCGGTGAGCGTGTGGATTTTATCTGCATCTTGGATGAATGAAGTGTGTACGTTAGACCATTGACGGCAGATGGGATAAACTGCAAGGAGAAAGCTGGATCTGCTTGTGTTCGCAACAGGGCAGAACCTTGCTAAGCCACACTAAACCTGAGACCCTTTGTATCCCTTCGCAGCAAAGATTTAATACCGGCGCTCTAACGAGGCCGCCTGAGCCTGCACTGATTATATAGTCTGCACTCTGCCAGGCTTGCTATCGCTTAGTAAAGGGAAGCTACACTGGTCCACACACGATTAAAACCCTGTTCACCAGGCAGTGCCCTCACTTTGTTGGTTCTTTAGTGAGTTTGCTCCCTCACCTGTTACTTTGCAGCTGGTTGTGAGAATGGGGGAGGTTCCCTCGCATGAAGAAACAGCAAATGGGGTTTCTCTTCTCTTCCTGGAGGGGAGAGGGAACTACTTCTGCAGAGGTGGCTGTGTCCATCCCACCCTCTTCTGAGCAGACATTCTCACTGCAGTAGAACCAGGAGGCAGAGTGTATAAATCAGCTGCTGATTGTGGGTCCCCTTTCAGTTCTATAAGGGGGTGATAGATCCCTAGTGACACTTTGGACCTGGAGATCTCCCCCCAAAACATCTCAGTTGAGTCCAATGCACTGAACAGCCTGGCTTAGCTCTGAATTGTGAGATAAGAACATAACATTTATTTCCCTGGGCTGGAGGTTTCCTTGCTTGCTAGAGAGATAAGAACGGCCGTACTGGGTCAGACCAAAGGTCCATCTAGCCCAGTGTCCTGTCTACCGACGGTGGCCAATGCCAGGTGCCCCAGAGGGAGTGAACAGGACAGGTAATGATCAAGTGATCTCTCTCCTGCCATCCATCTCCACCCTCTGACAAACAGTCTAGGGACACCCTTCCTTACTCATCCTAGCTAATAGCCATTAATGGACTTAACCTCCATGAATTTATCCGGTTCTCTTTTAAACCCTGTTATAGTCCTAGCCTTCACAACCTCCTCAGGCAAGGAGTTCCACAAGTTGACTGTGCACTGTGTGAAGAAGAACTTCCTTTTATTTGTTTTAAACCTGCTGCCTATTCATTTCATTTGGTGACTCCTAGTTCTTGTATTATGGGAATAAGTAAATAACTTCTCCTTATCTACTTTCTCCACATCACTCATAATTTTATATACCTCTATCATATTCCCCCTTAGTCTCCTCTTTTCCAAGCTGAAAAGTCCTAGCCTCTTCAATCTCTCCTCATATGGGACCCGTTCCAAACCCCTAATCATTTTAGTTGCCCTTCTCTGAACCTTTTCAGTGCCAGTATATCTTTTTTGAGATGAGGAGACCACATCTGTACGCAGTATTTGAGATGTGGGCATACCATTGATTTACATAAGGGCAATAATATATTCTCCCTCTTATTCTCTATCCCCTTTTTAATGATTCCTAACATCCTGTTTGCTTTTTTGACCGCCTCTGCACACTGCGTGGACATCTTCAGAGAACTATCCACGATGACTCCAAGATCTTTTTCCTGATTTGTTGTAGCTAAATTAGCCCCCATCATATTGTATGTATAGTTGGGGTTATTTTTTTCAATGTGCATTACTTTACATTTATCCACATTAAATTTCATTTTCATTTCAATAAACAGCAAAAAGCAACTTTGGGGATTTTACAATCAAAATTGCAGTTGAGTGCAGAGCTGCAGTGCTGGGCTTTGCTGAATAGGGGCTTGCAGCCGTGCGATCGGATCTTGGGCTCTCTCAAGAGCAGGGGTAATCAGCGTTTGCATGGGGGACCTGCACTGAAAACCCAGGTAGTGTAAGAGAGCTGTTCCCTTGGGGTCAGTGCTGGGCCATTGCCCCAGTGTGGTGCTAGGGGGCTCTGTGCTGCTGCGGGTGCAGGTTTTTGAAGTGGGATCTAAAACCAGCCTGCTGACCGCTCAGGTTGGTCAGTGTGTGATTTTTAGCTGGGGAGTCCCGCTCCGATTGAAGTGTGAACAATTGCCTGCTGCCTCCTTAAATCCACCCTGTTGCTTCCACTGCATACGGTGGCCTTCGCTGTCTCCTCTGAGAATGGTTCGCTGGCAAATGGCTGTGGTGCTCCTCCCCTAGATATGGCTGCATTTCAGGGATTTGGGCATCTGTGAAGGGAGCGCGCACTGTATGACTGGAGGAGGATGGTGGAGAGTCTGTTCCCTGCCTCCAGGAGACGCAGCACAGACGGCCTAGCCTGGCATGCAAGGGGCATGGGTGGCTTTAAAGCGACATTTGTGTCTCGGGGCTGCTGTGGTGGTCAAAATGACGCAGGCATAAATAATTTTGCAGCACCTTCCAAGAGCTGCCTAGTGGCAGCTGTGCCATCTGGCGCAGCACAGAAGCTCTGTCGTGGCATGTGCTGTGGAGCCCCACCTCCTGTACCACGCCTGGCAGGGCAGCTGACCCAGAGCTGCCTGGGTGGTGCAGTGCTTTGCCCCGATGGAATTTCCTGCCGCACCTGGCACCACAGATCTGCTCCCCCGCCCCACGCACCCTGGAGTGGTGTAGAGGGGCTGCGGAGGAATCTGTTCCGCATTCTTTGTGCTAAATGACAGCATTTTTCTCCCATTTGCTATGGGGTCTGTGTCAGAAAGCACCAGCCCCCCTACAACGCTGCCCTCCAGAGCAGTGCCCTTGGCTGCAGAGTCTGAGATTAATGAAGTCTTGACGGAAACCAACCCCCCCAGCTGCAGAATCTGGCTAATGAAGTCGGGTGCCACTAAGACCTGCTAGCTATTTAGCAGTGTGCACTCCTAAAACTCAAGATGGAATCCGTAATTAACAGGGGTCCTTGTCTTTATCAGAAAAGTGACCAGTTCAGCTGGTGTCCTTAAAACATTCCTGGATTCGCATAATCCTATTTGCTGAAGCCTGACTAATTGTAATTAGTGGAAGGGCCTGAAGCTCAATTAAAGTGTACTGAGATTATGCCTTTTTATAATTGCTTTAGTGCCAGGGGATTAGCTTTGGAATGATACTCATCCAGCAGACAGACTGGTGCTTCCACAGGAAACCTGGGCCAAGAACTTGAGCAGTGATCAGAAGAAGTACTTGATAGTCAGTTGACCCATAGGACTCCCTGTCAGATATTTATTGTCAACTGGGGCCAACACCTTTGCCGTGGTCAGAAAAGGATTAGACAGTCCTATGGAGAATGGGGAACATCGGCCGTGACAGTAGATGGGATTAAAATGGGGAAGGGATATCAACTCTCATGCTTCGCTCCTAGGGGATAGGAAGAAACTTCCCCAGTGGACGGATAAGGAATAACCTGCCCATTATGTAGCCTCTTGTGCCTTCCTCTGAAGCAGCCTAGCCGTGGCCACGGTCGAGCACTGGGGACCGAAGTAGGTGGTCCCTTTCTTCTGCTCCACTCTGGCAATTCCTAGGTTTCTAAGAATACCAAACAGCAAATTACCCAGCAGTAACGACCGCCCCTTGCATTAGTACCCAAGGCCAGTATTTGCAAAGGTAGGCACCTGAATCCATGCTTGGTTGCTAAGTAACTAGTCTGATTTTTCCAAGTGGCTCGGGGCCCTGTGGCTTTCATTTACTTCATCGGCACAGGAGGGGGCCTTACAGCTTTGCTAGCCTCGGCCAGGAGGGTGCTGTCATATGAGGTAGCATGCCAGAGTCCCAGGCCCTTGGTGACCTCACTGCTTTTCAAGATCAGACAGCAGCTTGGGATCCATATGGGCTGAATCTGGGGCCCATCCCTCGTTATCATGGGGTTTCCTGTCTCGTAAGAACCTCGGGGCAGGGACTTCGTCTCCTGGTTTGTTTGGTGTCACACGTTAATTGCACTATATCTGCTATTAATTAATGTCTTTGCTCAGCTTGTGTGCTCCTTGGACTGTCTGATGAATACACGTGCATGCAGCACCTAGCACAATGGGCCGGGATCCATGGGTGGGCCCTCTAACCATATGGCAATACACATAATGAGTCGGAAGGGAAATGTCATGTGCCCATAGGCCGAGCTTGGTGAACACTGCAAAGATCTGGGCCCACTTTCCGAGCCCCGTTGCAGTCGCTTTGCACGGGCTTCTAGCAAATGTGGTTCATGGCAGGAGCG